TACAAAATATTTATTCCAACCAAAGCTTTCTGCTTATTACTGTGTAACGAACGTAAGAATGTTATGTAGTGAAATTAAGTGGTTTAATTAATTAACGGTTTAATAAAAACTAATTTATTATTTATTCCGAAATATACTACACAATGCTTATTTTATTTAATCAATATATTAATTTGTTCTTCTACTAATTGGACTTTTAGTAAGCTAGGTTCAACGCTTTTTCGCACTCAATTTTCTGAGCTTGCGTGAAAGAGACAATGGGAGATAGGATGAATTTCTCCGTAATATTGTAGTTCAAAATTACTTAAGATGATTTTATATACCTTATACGGTATTTCTCCCTCTTTTCTAGCGTGCCTTTGTGGTGTAGTGGTTCTGCACGCTGGGTTGGTATTCCAGAGGTCCGTGGTTCGATTCCCGGCGAAGGCGGTTGCTAATTTTTCATCTCTCTGTCCTAAAAAAATCCTAATGTCTCTACAACCTCACACTTAAACTGTTAAAAGCAGAGGAATTCGTTCTTTCATTTAAAAATACTTTCTTTAAGATAGATGAAATAGTATTTAAGATATGCCCGTTTAATTAGCTAAATCCTGTAATCTGGTTAAGAATTTTCTGGAGGCTGATTTTTGTCACTTCAATGGTCTCGTGACCGGCAGACCACAATGAATATGTGTTTTTTGTATTATATATTTGATTTCTATTTTGTCTTTGTATTTTTGTATAAACATAATGTTTTTGAATAGAAGTGATGAAATGTAACTATCTAGATGTTTGATGCATTTATTAGCAATTTAAAGTATTTTATGACAATTCATTTTCTTAAGAATTGATTTTGCTAATTGCATTTTAGATAATTGCTTTGGAAGTTTCTAAATTTAATTAATTTAATTGTTTTAGTGTAAGAACAGTATTTTTGCGTTCAAGAAATGATAAATTTTCAACTTCTTAAACTGTGCTACAGATTTTATGTAATTTGTGCCTAACAGAAATGAGTTAAAAATTTGGATACCTTTTTTGAAAAGCTGAATTGTTAGTTTTTATTAAAGTTAATTTAGGTTAGGATTTGTAAAGTTGCGAGGGAACAGTGATAGTTTACATAGAAATTAAGTGATTTTTTTTTTTTTTTGGAAATTAGTTTTCAGCTGGAGTGAAGTTTCCTGTTTAGCTTTTATGAATAGTTTTATTTTTACCGTGCACCAGCAAAGACTTATTCTTCTTTATTTTTCAGGTTAAGTTTTATTGAGTGTACATTTGCTTTGATCGAATTAATTGATACTAGAACAGTTGATTAAATCTAAATTGGGTTTGATAAATCACACAATTCCTCTCCTCCTTTTCACAGCTTAGGATTTAAAGTTTCAGACTAGTTTTAGTAGAATTTGTTATTCTTTATGTTAGCTTTTGTTCGGCACCTAAGAAAGTTCAGGCAGGCAGTAAAAAAGTTAAAAACATAAAACACTTAAATTTTCATTGGTTTATCAAGAAAACAATGTTTAGATAAAGTGAAATAAAATGAATTTAAACGGAAAATATGTAGTCTGCCTTCAGATGATTAAGCATTAAACCTTCTAGCAAAACTACTTATTGCAACATAAATAAAAAAAATATTAAACAAAACTAAAACGTTTATGCAAAGAATTGAAGATGAACATTTCCTTCCGCTGCCAAAAATTTTAATATAAAAATTTTAAAATATGTATTTCCTATGTAAAACCTGCATATTTCCTCCTGTTTAAAACTATAAAAACTGCTTATCAGGAAACAGACGTATGATAGTAATAGCGAATACATATAAAACATCAATTATCAGACGATTTTTAGATACTTATTTATTTTATTGCTATGGCTTAAAGTTACAATATGGAACTTCGATAATACATTGTATTTGAAACAGCAGTTTGCCGTAAAACAGTATTATATTTATATGAAAACAACAAGATTTTGCCTAATATCACTTCATTAAGAACCGAAAATCTGTAGTAATTTCAATACAATATTCAAAAACCTTAACGTCTACATTTCCCTTTGCCCAGTTCTGAATAAGATAAATTTAGTAGCGTTCTTTGAAATAGATATATTAAAAGTATCTCTATGGTTAGATCTGTTTAACGCTTCTAGTCCTACTATCAAAAATACTTAAATCGTATTAAAAGCTAAATGAATTTGAAAGTATATATATTTAAATGAAAGATGTATGCAAATGTTTAAACTTTCATGAATCTTAAACGTTATCAAAATTTTGTGACAAGTTTTGTAGCGAAATAATAAATCCGTGGAAGTTGATGTTTGTTCCATGATAGAACATTCTAAATTTTAACGTGAATGCGGATTTACTTATTTTAAGCAAAATCATTATCTTAACTCAGCTTGCAAGGTTTCCCTTATTTTGCATAACAAATTATTTTTAGTAATTTTCCTTATTTCTCCTCGTATTTCTTCGCCAGGATGCAAATTTAAATTTAAATGAAGTGAGTATTTAAACGAGTGAATCTTGGAGTTTATGCAGAGCGTGTTATCGCTAGCTAGCGTACGCTACGAATCTGTCCTTGCTATTACGCGGAGTTAGTGATACGCCTTTTTGGTCATTTAATAACCCCGGGTAGGTTGTTGAGCCAACCTAGTTAGCCTTAACTTAAATTGCTAGTCCAGCAGTACTCTTTTATCTTTTGAATTTATTGTGTAACGATTCTGAAGTTCCACCACAAGGTGTCGGTGTTATTGTAAGCATGAAGCACGTGCTTATTTCTGTTCAGAGTTTGACAAATAAGAAAGGTTTTTTTTTACCCTCTTTCTGTGCTTGTATTCTTTATGACTGTGCGAGAAGTCGCTAGGTTCCTTAGATCCTTAAAAGATCTAGCAAAGTTTATGTTACCAAAGAGAGTACCATCCTACGAGCTAGTTGAGAAAAGAAAGTCTGGAGATAAAAATCTCTATGTACGTATAAGCCCTATCTTGAAACAATGCACTTAAGGGAGTGACTTTTAAGGCAAAGCAAAATAAGCTATTGTAAACTCCAATTTCCGACTTAAGGCAAAGCCAAAAAATTGAATAGATTGATCAATAGATCGGAGAGAAGTATAGGAAATATTTAAAGAATGTCCATAGTATCTAAATTAAAACTTCTATTTCTTGAAATTTTATTTTTGCTAGTCAAGTATTTTTGCTAGGTAAGATAAAAAGAAGCATCAGGCACGACATCAAAACTATAAAATCTGAAAATCATTAGAAAGAGCTCATTTAAATATTTCATATGAGTTTTCGTTTTAAGTACAACAAAATTATTAAATTGACACAACAGCGTTTTCATACAGTCATAATAGTGCTTTTACACGCAGGTTCAGAGAATATGAACGTAACGTTAGGTTATTTTAAAGCAGGAGAATGTGAAAAGTGTGCAATGGCCTCTCCGGGACTCGAACCACGAACCTCTCGAACACGCTCCGACCGTGCTGACCATTACCCTCTTTACGCCACGAAGGCATGCTGAGAAGGTGGGAGATTTATTATAATTCCCCTTTAAAAAGGCGACTGAGGATTAATTGTCCCAATCGCAAAATCTTCGTGGTGGAAAATCGTCATCCACCATCTTTCTTTTAGTTCGGGCGCCACTGTAGAGACATTAGCTTATTTTAGAGAATAGGAAAAATGAGCAACGGCCTTGCCGGGACTCGAACCACGGACCTCTCGAATATGGCCGTGCGTGCTGACCATTACACCACTAAGGCATGATAAAAAGGCGAGGAGAAATACTTTATAACATGATGAAAACAACCTAGAAAATTCATACAAGTAGCAAAAATGCAATTTGGGAGTTTTACGTGATATTGACGATGTGTGGTTGTAGGATTTGGATGTCTGTGATCTGTACTTAATCTTTTAAAAGTAATGCTGCGAAGAAGTCTGTCATGTTCTCATCACAGAGAATGACCAATATCTCTTAGAACATGAATAAATATTGGAGCATAACCTAATATTGGAACATAACCTAAGATGATTATTTTTGAAAATGTCTAGAATCATCTGAAATCGTAATGGCCGCCTCAAATAAATTTCACTGTACCAATAAACGATGATTAGTAATTAGTAAGAGAATTAAATATTTGTTTAGGAAAATATGATTCGGTATAGATTTGATACGGCATGTAAGAAAGACTATGTATTTAAATATATTAAAATTTATCTTTCCTTATAGATATTTCTATACGAACAATCAAAGTTAGTTGAACATAGTTTAGAATTACTTGTTATTGTGGCTTTCGAGTCCATATTTCACAAAAAATTGGTTTCCATGTCGTCAAAGAGGTTGAACTTCTACTTTCCAACAACTTTAAGGTAGAGGTGGTCCGAGGGTCTCCCATCCTTCTACTTTACCACCAAACCACGAACAATAAAAGTTAGTTGAAAGTAGTCTAGAACTATTTTTTATTGTGGCTTTCGAGTCCATATTTCACGAAAGAGTGGTTTCCTGGGCGTCAAAGAGGTTGAACTTCTACTTTCCAACAATTTTAAGGTAAGGGTGGTCCGAGGGTCTCCCATCCTTCTGCCTTACCACCAAACCGCACGAGACATGACTTTCAGCTAGCCATACATTTACAGTGTCCCCGTGCAGCACTTTATGCATATATAAAGACACTATTACATTCACAAACATCCGTGCATTCTGCGGAATTCGAAATTTGTTCTTTCGGTATGGCACAGTGAGAGTCACGGATGACTATGGTTTCCAGATGAATGAATTTCAGATGGCCGTCCTGACGGCCATCTGAAACTACTGTTACAATTTCTAGCTTAACGACTTTTATTCAAAGAACAAATTTATTAGAAGAAATGGAAGTCAAAGAAATATTTTAAGGCATAAGATTAATTTATTTTCTTTTATTCCCAAGAAAATCTCGATGAGTGTCCTTATGTTTTCTTTACTTGAACTTGAAACTTGAAAAATTCGCTTTATCATAATGTAAATTTCAGTACTTTGTTATGATGGATTGCGTATGATTTAGGGGAAAAGCCAAAACTGAGGAGAATTCATTTCAAGATGAAATTTTCCCCGTCTGAGGAAACTCCTAGCCGTACTCAGCTCACGGATCGATTTGAGGATGAAATACAGCGCCAAGAAATACCCGCCATCATTCAATTGCAGCTTCAGTAAGCTTTCATATTACGCATACATTCTGATTACTATTTGTGTATTTTTTTGTTTTCCTGTTTGTTGTATTTTCATAATTCTGTATAGATAAACTGAACTGAGGGCTGCTATGCTATGACAAAATGGGCAATAGTAGTGCTGAAAATCCACAAAAATGTAGAAAAATGAGAAGAAATTATAAACGTAAATAACAAGGATTGCGTTAAAAGTATAAGAAATTAAATATAAAGAAAAGTAGATGATTCACTTTTTTTTTCTGAATTTGTTATTTTGGAATTTATTTGACCAGAAAATCTCCTCGTCTGCTGACCGAAATGCCACATCACTGCTGAATACGGTAACCACCTTCTCGGGATTTTTACCAGAAGTTTGATAAACTTATCTCAATACAGAATATAAGCTAACGTATGTTAACGTTTCCTTTTTATTCATTCAGTTTTGAAGCAAAATGCACCAAGTAAAAGTTCCGTTTATATGTTTTTAATTTGAGGTCCACTAACTTCTTTAAGGAATCAGTTTAAGCCAAGACTGATGTTTTTAAAGTCTGGGCTTTGACTGAAATACAAAGACCTTAAAGAAGCTCCTAAAAGGAACTTTAGGAGTTCAATATCTTCATAAATGCTGATCTATATCCTGGATGCATTCTTACAAGAGCTAACGATACAAGCATTAAATTATGTCCAATTTCTTTAGTTAGCTTTTTCTTAAATCTCGATTAAAGGGAAAATGTATAAATAGCATTGATACTGTTACACATGAACGCTAAATTTCCTTAAAAATTGTGAGAATTTCCATAACCATGAAAGAATTACGAGCTATTAAGGCTTGCAAATACATAATATAAATAAGACCTAACATTTTAGATTAGGTTTGGTTGGTTTTTATTTATATGTTTATGGAAAAACCTCGAGCTTATCTGCCTAGGGGAGGAATGCCTTCGTGGAGGACTTTCTAAAGGAAACTGACTTGCACACGAGTTGCACAGGGGGAAACTCCACGAAAACGCCTATGCAGCCAGCCGTTTGTGGAATTAAAACCTCAGACCGAACTACCAGTGTTCAGCGACTTTACTGGTTGGCTGCTGGTTGGTCCATTTTAGATCTGAACGTACTACAGTACAATTCTAAGGAAAATAAGTCAATGTAAAATTTAAATTAGGCAAAAAATTAACTTTAGGTTGATGCAGAGTTTTAGCAATATTCTATAATTTTTAATAAATTTCTTTGTTAGATTTTGTTGTCATCTTTGGAAAAATGTTCTGACGAGGGAATAATTACCGCGTCAAATCGACCTTGAAATGGATAAAGATTCATTCGGAATCTGAAAAAAATCGAAGCTACATGAAATAATCTTGCAATCTTGTGAAAAGAAAATGTAAACTGAAGCATGTTTCGATAAGTTTAAAGACTCCACTAAAAAGCAGTCAGATTTGGTGAAGGATTTTCTAATCTAGAAAAGGAAAAATACTGATGTGCTATTATAATTTCCGAAAAAATGCGGGATGTGCTGAACAAAGCTTATACCCGTGAAGAATATTTTAAGGTTCTGTTCTATATATGCAGGAATATATGTTATTATGAGTTTTATTCTTTATATTCTATATAATTTACATTGGAAATGCGTGCCCATCTGAGGCAGTGAATATAATAACTGAACACTAACAATTCGATTTGTTTTCGAATTCTTGAGAAAAGGGTACCTGCATGGATGTCTTCATGAATTTCTCCTTGTATTATGTAAATACGAGCCAGTTTCCATTAGAAAGGTACCACTAAGGCATCCATTTCCTTAAAGGATAGTTATTACGTGTTTTGTAGTATGTATTCAGTGTATTGTAGTTAATATAATAAACAGAAAGAATTAATTATTGAAACGTACTTTATTCAGCAGTTTAAGAAAAAGAAATACTGGCAGGAAAAATAAAAGAATAAATGAATGAATATCTGATGTTAATATTAATTGGTCTGTACAAGAGTTAACGATTAAATTTGCAGAAAAATATACCTGTATTAAATTCCCTTACAATGTGAGGCTGCCTTTTCTTCGCTTATGGGTGCAATATATAAACACACTTCCGATGGTGTATTTCAGTTTTATGAGTCCCGAGACCCCAGAATTTCCACGAGTTTCAGACTGTTCAAGGTTAAATGGATAATAGGTATGTACCTAACATTTAATTTAAAATTATGTCTGAACTTCCAAAAAGCCAAAGTAATTTGGCCTATATATTTATGCGGTCTATTGTTTACGTATAAAAATGTAAAACGGCGAGTATTATTGAAAATCAAAAGAATGTTATGATATATCAAATCAAATTTAAATTTAGTGCACCTATATATATCACAAAAGCAAACACCGGCGTATTAGTTCGCTTGTCTCTAGGTATCCCCTAGTCTTCTGAAGGCGAGGTTGAGAGCTGAAAACTTTCACAGCACGTCTGCGACCAGCTCGGCCCCAGTGCCGTTACTGGGCGTCCAGACACGTAATAGTAAAAACTGAAAAACACGGAACTCTGAATCTGCGTCCCACGCAGAAAATGCCTCTTGATGCCCACGAATGCTCACCTTCCGGCAATGATGCCGTGAAGCGTGAAGGACGTAGTGAGTTTTGAACCCCTACCGATATCACGAGATAATATTCCTTGCGTATCCGCCTGATCAGCGGCTACCAGCGCATTTCTAAGGTGTGCGCTATGAAATCCTTCAAGATGCTTGCAGCTCGAACGTTCTATGAACGTAAAATGGTACCTGGTTGATCCTGCTAGTAGTCATAAGCTTGTCTCAAAGATTAAGCCATGCGTGTGTAAGTACATGCCGTATTAAGGCGAAACCGCGAATGGCTAATTAAATCAGTTTAGTTACTTGGATCGTACCGTACTACTTGGATAACTGTGGCAATTCTAGAGCTTATACATGCAGCAGACTCTCTGGGGACGAGCGCTTTTAGTAGACATGGTGGAAGTTAAAACATTCCCATATCAAATATTTCCAGATATCTAAGTTAGGTTATTAATTATAGAAAATGCTCAACAGCTTCTAGAGGCATTAAGCTATTTCGAAGTAGGAGACATGAAAAATGAGCAGTGCCCTCGCCGGGACTCGAACCTCGGAACTCAAATACCCGTTGTGCTTACCATTACACCCCGAAGGCATGCTAAGAAGGCGGGAGAAATACCTTATGTACTATCCCTTTTAAAAAGCGACTGGGGATTAGGGGACCCAGTCGCCAGTCGTCGTGGAGAATCATCATTCACCACCCTTTTAGTTCGGGCGCCACTGTAGAGACATCAGGCATTTTTGATAGGGAAGACGCGATAAATGAGCAATGCCCTCGCCGGGACTTGAACCTCGGACCTCTCGAATACGCGCCAAGTGTACTCAATATTACATCTGGAAGGTAAGCTAAGAAGGCGGGAGAAATACCTTATATGCTATCCATCTTGAGACGGATCCTTTTGTGGTGACTATTTTAATTGGCTGGCATTTAGATTTAGATGGATGGCATTTATTCCACCTGGAAAAAATAATCTTCAGATTACTAGTTCGTTGATTGGTTGGGAACAATCAACTCAATTATGCTCATGTAATGCGGGGTTGAACCTCATGTTTAACCACGCATTACAATTTAATAAAGTTTGAAAAAAATAGCGAAGAATACGTAATAAAAATTATTAATAGTTAAATAAAATAATTGTCCTTTATCTTACCATCTTTTATCGTTACTAGTAGTACTAAGCTTCATTATCTTATCATGGAATTTAAAATTTTCAGTAAAATTATTTAATGAAGCTGTAGGGTCGTTAGGTTCTTTTAAAGCAAGAGTGATAAAAAATGAGCAAAGCGCTCGCCGGGAATCGAACCATGGACCTCTAAAATATGCGCCCAGCGTGCTGACCACTACAGTACGAAGGCATGATATGAGGGCGGGAGAATTGCTTGAGACTAGAGCTTAAGGAACAGTTAATGTGACTGGAATTGAGAGTAGTATCTATTAATGAACCTGGAAAATTTTAACATACAGTAGTATATAAATGAGCTTAAATGTTTCAACTTTTGTTTTCCTTTATTAAGCTTTCGAAATTTGCTTATTTTGATTAAAAGTAACAGTAGAAATGATGGGATATATATTATAGTATATCCAGATGAAGATAGCTAAAGTAGAAAGAAATCTATATAAACAGTTTTTGAATAAACATTTATATTATTGTAAAATAAATGTGTCAGCTCATTGTTTCTATAAGTTAAATTTCGGTGTTTGTGATACAGTTGGCAAAACAAGCTTCCATACAAATGATAATCGCATTCTAAGTTGCTTGAAGCATTATAAGAGAAGTATACTTGCAGATTTAATTGCGCGAACATTTGAGAGCTGAAAATAGTCCCTATTGATCTAGAAAACAATGTTTTTGAAATGTGCTCCATTACACAGAAAAAAATATCCTTATTACATAGAAAAAATATCTACTGCTATTAAATCAGATGACCGATTAGGCTGTCTGAGATTTTCGTGGCTTTTCTGGAAATTTCTTGCGTCAAAAAATCATGTTTTTTCACCGAACAGGATGCTTTTCTATGTTAGATTTTTTCATCTAGTCTCAGCATGTATCTAATATTTCTTCTAATGTTAACATTGTAATTGAGATTATTTACTGTGATTATCCGATGCACAAACTCAAATAAAGCTTTAAGAAATGCAAAGTTACATGTAATAATTACTTAACGAGATTTCTTTTCAATATCTTGTGTGCCGTTTTCTTGAAAATCTGCTTCAGTTTCGTTTTGTTACATTATTATGGATTTTTTATTGAATTACTGAAGTATTCAATTTTGATTTTAAACTGATTAATTTCTTTTATTTTTTGGAAGTTCATAGCATGGGATAGAAAAGATAATATCGTTTAAAAATATATACTCTGCTCGTTACCTATAGATTATTAGGCAAAATATTTTTTATTTCATAAAGTTTTATCTTGGTTATGAAAACTTACGTTTAGCCATGC